TCTAAATTAATTTAAATTTAGACACATATTTAACGAGTTTTATCAGTCAAATAACAAAAAGTATGAATAATGTTAATATATAACAAAACTTGAATAAAAGTAGTTTTTTATAGCCATAAACTAAAATTAAATCTTTAACAGGTAAATGAAAGGGTGATCGCATTCCTCCCCCTCATGAAACTAGGAAATCTCTTCCCCCCTGGTTGAGAACCCCTGTTTTAACAGAAAGATTCTGTAATTCGTATTTGAAACTAGCACATTTTAGACGTTTGCATTGCATAAAATTGTAATAATTTTCTCGAAAAAAAAAAAAAGTATCTGCTCACAAGGAACTAAAGAACGCGGTTTACGGACAGAGGGAGGCGTAATTAGAATTGGTAAGTAACAGAGGGATGTAGGTAGTAGATCATATAACTAGACCGGAGAAAAATACAGCTAAAATTCTTTTTTGAATATAAAATAATAAAATAAAATAAATAAAATAAATAAATAAAATAATAAATATATAAATAAAAATAAAATTCTTTTTTGAGTTATCTGAAGCCAAACGTCAATTAAATTGAGTTAATGAAATTTATTAACATTTCTTTCTAATTACGATTTCGGAGGTAAGTTTTTGTTCAAATTAACCTAAATTTTGAATAATCTTTCAATGTGAAATATCAGATCAGCAAAACTTAAAAATTTTTAAGATTTTAAATACCTGGGTACCGACTTAGGATCGAATTTAGGACCGCAGGATGATTCTGCTGCAAACTAAGTTATGAGGAGCTGTTAGCTAACTTCGAATAATTACCACTTCGTCATAACGTATGCGTAATTTGGCCTAGGATACTAATCGTTTTGACCGTAATGTGATCAGCAATGCCTTTTACAAGATTCAAGTATACATTTTATTTATGTTACATTTTCGATAGCATTTGAAGTAAGCACTAATATTTCTTTTTTTAGATAATAAATTATGACCTTATACTGAGCAACACAAATTTTTATATATTGAATATTTTATCCGTACTCTACAAATAGTTAATTTTTAAAATAAATAAAAAAATATCAAAAGTGCCCAAATTTTATATATTAAAAATGAACAAACTGCATGAACTTTCATGTGAAATAATCTTTGCTTTTCTTTCTCAAAACACTGCAACCATTAAAATGCGCGTTGTAAATCTGTCATGAAAGTTCACCGTTTTCAGTCCAAGTCGGAAAGCCTTTGGAAAGAATATCAATATCCCTTAAGGCAAAAAAAAGCGTTCTAGGAATAATAACTATGCATTATGAATGTTCAACGGTTAAAATGCAGTAAAATATGATGGTTATAATGAGAAAAAACACCTGCTCTGATAAACCTGTTTGTGTAACTTAAAATAGCTTTACTCATCATTTTCGTTATTTTGCTCAGTTGCTCAAATACATTCAGTCTAACATGAGAAGCAGCAAATTACTCTGTAGGTGGGATAAAGAACTGCTTTCCATTTATTTTGCTCTAAATTATTTTACCCTAAAGCTAGTGTCACTTGCAAATGATTCTAGTGGGAGTGGCAAATTCGTTTTTAACACAGTCAGTTCTAAAACGATTTTCTTCAGTTTCGGTATAATGCTTATAGGGCATGAACTGGTGCCAAAAGACAGCTTGATAAAATAAATCGATATCTATAAAAATATTTATTTTTTAAAGGTAATTTTATGACTTGAAAACAAGCGGAATAAAATTATTTTACGCTTTCCATAGAATGTTATTATTTCAAACAAATTTTCTATATGTTTTGTAAGACATTATATTATTATTATAAGGGCCCAGTCCCAATCCTCCTAGCCGGCACAAGCCGGCCATATAATCAGTTATATTATATATTAATATTAATATTATATTATATTATGTTATATTATATATTAATATTGATCTGTTATATCGTACACTATATTATATAATATATTAATATTAATATTGATCAATTATATTATATCGTACATTATATTATATATTCCCTACCTAAGTGCTTACAAGTAGTTGTGTGATAAAACCACTGAACCCTAATTTAGTCACATAAGAGTACCAGGTTTTATCGATTGAACAGGCTGGCTCCAAAGAGCTTCGATTCCTATATACAGGACGATTTTAAATGAACCATCGGGTTTAAGCCACTGTATTTCAAAGAATATTACACGTAGACCAACGAATGATATGAAAATAAATACTGAGTGTCCAAATTTTCTTTATATCATCACAAATTTTCAATGTGATTTCCTCTGGTCACATGTCACTTGTCTCTGTGGTATTAGAGTTCGGTCGATGACTATTTACGGCCACTACTGATGACCATAAATGTATTGGTAAGGCGATACTTGAGCTCAATAAAATTCGCGACATCTGTGACATAGAAACAGTGTCTTAAGAATCTCCTTAAAAAAATCACGAATTGTGAGGTCTGGAGATCGCGGAGGCCATGCAAACAGCATGGCATCATCATCTTCAACAAACATCTTCAAACAATCATCTTCAACGCATCGCCCAGTCCAGCGCTATGGAAGTTCCCCGTTGAGGTACTCACATAAATTTTAAAAATGAGAGCAAACGTAGACGTTTAATGTTGATTTTTATGTATCATTTAAGTTTTTTGACTTTGAAGGAGAATCTCAAGGGGAAACAGATTTAAGAGTCTTCTGCCTATCATTCCCTGCTACCAAACCACTGGAGAGAACTTATGGTTTCCGCGAATTTTAAGTGTCTCCATTCCTCAACGCGGCTACGCACTTACAAACCTTTAAGTCTTCTGCGTGTTTCGAATCTGGGCCCAAAGATACGGCAGCCACCAGAGCTAACCATCATACCGATGGTGGCGTGAACATCATTCGTCAATTCATGTGAAATTCGTTTTGAAATTCAGAGTTTTAAAACGATTGAGTCATTTGTAATCACGCTGTGTAACGTAAATACGAGAATATGGTACTTTGCCGCATTTTCACTTAGGACTTACCAAGGCATAGAATTCATTTGTAACTTCTTCATACTGCTAATAACTACTATATAATACATTTTAACATTAAATATTACGATATAAATAGTTAGAGAAAATCAGTGCCACAAAATAAAAATTTTATCTAAGAGTTACTGAATGTGGTGTAATCTCATCAGAACCAGACAATACTTACCTACATTTTACCAGCATTTAATTTTTTTCTATGCTCTGCCAATCATATTATTGAACATATACTCCTTCTGCGCAGCTGTACTTTATACTTCTCTCTTCTTTCGAGTTCAGTAATCTTTGCCGATAAGTATTAATACACAGTCTATAGTACTTGAAATGGAAGAAGCATTTATAACCAAGAAGTTTAACCTTAACAAGTGTAATTGATACTTTTTAGATTTTCACTTTCAGTTCTCCGAAAGGATTATCATGGCAACTGATATCCTGAAACAATGTGATAGTATCTCTTTTGTTGTATTTTAGAAGTGGAGAAAACTTACGAGTTTTTAACAAAGAAAAATTCTCAATCGAAAAAAAGATTTAAATCAATATTTGCAATGAAAGTTTATCTAAAACCTAAAAATAGATCTAAAACATAATATCGAAAGCTTCAGTGCTTATCGAAAACTTAAGTGTTTTAATATTCATTCTAATATTAAAACTCTTAAGTTCTCACAAGGTAGAATCAAGTTATCACAAAATAGAAACTTGTAATAGGATTTTTTTGGGTTAGAAAATGAATAGAATTTTTATTGGCTTAAACGCTTTACTTGCTGAAAGGAAATATAATTTATCTACCTTATAATAATTCATTCATACACTAGACATTAAAAGTATTTTTAAATCTATGTTATGGACAATTAACCTGGTTACAATCAATTTAACTAATTTTTAAGTAATATGCATAATTAATATAATGCGCATACCTGAAGAATAGAGTTATGCATATTACTTTCGAGTTAACTAACCAAGAAGTTTGACATTTAAAAAAAAATCGGGAATGTTATACTTAAATTTTCCCAATTATGCAAGGCATTGTACTGAATGTCAAGCCTAAAATGAAATATAAGAAAATAAATAAATAAAGAGTATTATTAAATGCTATTAATCAAGCTTCTTCCTGCAGAAGATTACCACTTCGTTTTTCGAAGGCTAAAATTTACTAACGCCTTTCTGCTTTAAAGTACACTTAATTTTCTTCAGTATTAACACTGATTTAATCAATACAAAAAATATCATTTTCTTTTTTCGCTTATTCATTTCTTTTAAAACAAAATTCACAAAGTGATGCTGAATTACAGGATTTTAGTTATTTGATTGACACTAATTATTTTCTTCTTCAAATTATTTTAATGTTTTATAAATGCCGTGAAAAAGTGTTTTATAAATGCCATGAAAAATATTTTTAAAATACCATGAAAAAGGTTTTTTGTAAATACTTTAATGCTTTATTAAATATCATTTAAATAAATATTATGCCCCAAAACAAAGTATACAGTGATAACTATATAAATATAAATAGTGGGAATTTACTCATAGAAGATTGTAGAAATTAGGATGAAGTTTAAATGACAAGCTTTTAATATTTTAAATCTCACCAATACATTGTTATGGTATGACTTATAATTATTGATGGAAAAATAAATGACTACATTTAGTGAAAATCCTTTGACAGGTTCAGTCAAAATAGGTACAGCATCTTATGGCATAAAAGAAACTTTGCATTATAAAAGTTGTACAAATAACGATGTTTCCCATAATTTAGATTTCTTATTCTTTATTAGTATTTATTTCGGAATTTTGAAGAAAATTATCCGTTTTAATTATATGCATGCCTAGAATTTCTTTTCTCATACTGTTAAACATAATATCATATAATAACATGCAAATATTACTGTATAATAATGGCAGATTATCAAAGCCTTAAAAATACACATAACAAAAAATATACAAGTTTTTAAATGCCTAAATTATTTATCATGCAGCATTTTCTTTTTTCAAATTTCATTTGATTTGGTGAGGATAGGTTTTCTGCTCTGTGCATCAAAATTTTGTACTTACTGCGAAACAATGGCAAGCTGTTATGGACAATCCTATAGCAAGCGGGATGGAGCCCTGAACATCGAGGCGACTTTCATCACAAGCAGCGAAAACGGTGAAAACAAGAACGAATGTGATGCAGAATTCAACCCCCAGCCCTTGTGTTGGGGTCATTCCTGGATGAACCCTGGTCATCCCCAGGTCTCCGCGCTGAGCATCTGGAGTTAGCACATTCAAAAGTGCCGCTCCTGCTACTGCTCCGGCGCACTGACCAACAATGTAGAGCCCGGAGCGTAGAAATGAACATCTTCCAGTAACCATCATCGCGCAAGTAACGGCGGGATTGATGTGACCTCCACTGACCCCTCCGATGCATTGAGCAACAGTGGCCACAGTGACACCAAAGGCCAATGCAATCTGGACAACTGTTGGAGAATAAGCCTCACTCCATCCAATAGTACAAGAGCCGCATCCCACCAGGACAAGTATTGCAGTACCTAAGAATTCTGCTAGGACTGCTTTGGAAAGCTGGCTCAAGGCACTCAACTCCTCTATCCCGCACACAGAGCGGAATTCACGAACTCGTCCCATAGTTTCTAAGTGCGAAGAGCAATGTGAGACAGGCAGTTGGGGGTACAAACACTGCAGTGTCAGTGACGGAAATCCACGATAACGCTCTGTGATAATGATGAAAAAGAAGCAATGCAAAAAAGAAAAAAAAAAAAGCTCTCGCGCGCAATTGTCCGTTTTGAAGCAGGTGCGCCGTTGAGCGCCAAGCGGAACCCACCAATCAGAGAAGGGAAGGGAATGCTTGTTTTCTTCTAATTCTTGATTCGGTCGTGTTCGCTATTCGGGATTACGTGCTTTTGCGTTACTTCTTCCTTCACTAAAATGTAAAATACTTTTTACGCTGGAGGTGCATTCGTTTTTCGAAGGCTAAAATTTACTAACGCCTTTCTGCTTTAAAGTACACTTAATTTTCTTCAGTATTAACACTGATTTAATCAATACAAAAAATATCATTTTCTTTTTTCGCTTATTCATTTCTTTTAAAACAAAATTCACAAAGTGATGCTGAATTACAGGATTTTAGTTATTTGATTGACACTAATTATTTTCTTCTTCAAATTATTTTAATGTTTTATAAATGCCGTGAAAAAGTGTTTTATAAATGCCATGAAAAATATTTTATAAATACCATGAAAAAGGTTTTGTAAATACTTTAATGCTTTATTAAATATCATTTAAATTTTAGCATTTGAGCCTAAATCATTTTTCGAAGAATTTGCTTCTAAATCCATTTTATTTCATGACGAAAATTTCTGTTTGAAGAATTGAATTTTTTCCCTTTTGAATGACATTCATGTTTTGTGGTTAAGCAAATAATAATATTAGAAAATGAAAAATAATTTCACTTTTTAAAATTGAAAAGTTAAATTAATGCCGATTAAATTTTCTAACATTAGGTTTTAAAATTAATTAATTGAATTTAATGCTTTCTTGCCATAATTCTCGAATTTTGGGTTTACATTTATGAATAAGTTTCATCAGTGTGGCGATTGAACTGTAAATAACTTTGTGAGCGTAAACATTAACATACTATTAGAAATAGTAACAAATTACCATTCCGAGAAATATATCCTGAATATCTTTTTTCTCGAAATTATTACTTATAATTTTTAATGGTATATTAACCATTAACATGCAGCAATTTCACAGTGCAAAAATTTAGCCTCCCTCAAATCTTTGCATGTGAGAAAAAATGAGAATAGTGTCTTTCATGCATCATCAAGTGTTAAATGTTATCAACGGCATTATGTCTTGCTCGGCTCCAAAGCGTAGAACGAATTCAAAATGTGTGGCTATAATAATATTTTGACAATCATTATCGTGAAAATAGGTGGCTTCGTTTATTTGAAAATAAATGTATTTATATAATAATAAAATATTAACATAATTATTTCACAATGAAAATAATTTGCATGCATGGAATTACTGTGCTAAAAGAAAAGTACCTGCCACAGATATATTATGTTCAGTGTTATATTATCCATGATTTATTTGTCCAGTAACGTCCAAAAATATCTTTGATCATTATGGAGGGTTTAAATATACATAGTTGCTTAATGTCAATAGTAGCTTCCATTTATCACTTCGTGCCTCGATTAGCTCAAATAGTAAATTAGATTTATCTCTTATGGCCGAATTTGATAAAAGATGGAATCTGCTTTATGTTTGTATAGATAAATGCTTTAAGCCATTAGCTTTCAAACTTTGTCGAGAGAGAGAAACTTAAAATTGTATATATTTTTTCTGCAGAACCTGTAATATCGTCATGAAAGTAAACGGTAATAACCTTGAAATTAGATCGCTGTTTTATATGCTATATGTTGAAATTGGAAAGAAAAATCATCATTTCGTTATGATATTACTCATAGAAATAGATTTGTTTCATATTATTTTATGCAAACTAGAGAAATAACTAGCGATGAACAATAACTAGAGAAGTAATCAGCTATTTAAATAGTTATTTTAGGTGTTTAGACTTTAGATCGTTTGGTACTGGGAAAAAAAAAAAAAAAAAAAAAAAAAAAACTTTCGAATTTTGATTTTGATTTTCGAAACTCTAGAGTAGATGTATGGAAACCCAAATTACGCAGAACTCACTGAAGTACACGATTTACAATATGTATGTCTCAGCTTCTAGGTAAATATTTTGTTTAATATTAAACGTGATCTAATGATTCCATACGGTTTTATTTCTCATATCCGGGGACACAAATCAGGGAATCATATTTTTCATTTTTTGCTACTTCAACAAAATATCTCCTTGAGCTGGAATGAAATTTTTTATTTCATTGTTCCCCCTTTGGGAGATGGTTTGTTGATTAGCATAAGAAAGGAAGTATTTTTATTTCCAAAAACAAAATACTTGGCACCTTTATTTTTCTGCAACATTACTTTTAATTTACACATGGAAATTACTTTCAGGAATCAAGAAAATTACTTTTAATTTACACACGATGCATTTCTACTTCAACAAAAATAAAGTACTGAAATTAATTTGCATCCACATAGGTGCAATTCTGACCAGGTATTTTTTATTTTTACTGAACTAAAATTAAACAACGAAATCATTTCAAAAGTAAACAAATAAAGTTTTGCATTTTGTTCTACAAAATGCACAACTTTATCTCTTCAAAAGAATACATTAAAAAAATCACTTTCGAGTAAATTAAAACACGTAAGTTTCTTCTTTTCAACTAAATTTAAACCAAGACAATTTTTATTTATTGGCAGGAGGTAATAAAATAACATATTAACGATATAATGCATGTGATTAATTTTTTCCTCCATAATTTATCATAAATGTACTGTTTCAATAGAGAAAAACTAAATGATCACAATTAAATTAGCAACAATACTCAATTTACTTAGAGATGGGGTTCTCATTAGTCCTAGACATAACATAATTTGCCGTAAATGATGTTTTCAAAAAGAGTGATAGAAATGGATGCTGTAGGAATAAAAATAAGTTCCTATTAAAAAAATAATAGTATTTAACTAATTCTTTTAGAGTTGATCAATTTATTAGCATGTTAGCACTTTATTCGGAGTTAAAAAATAGTAGACAAATAATGAAATGTTTTGTTACATCAAGTGAAAAAGCTAGTTACCCGGAAAGCCTAAGAATTGCTAAGACCGGGCAGGCTCGCACTAGTGGAGGAATCCTTATTTTACCAGCAGCTAAAGATATCGTTTTAACATTATTCAACGAAAAAGCGGCTAATGAATTTAATAGCATTCCGTTATCAAATGATACAGTAAGTCGACAAATTCATGAAATGGCGAATTCCATAAAAGAGACACTTATTCAAAAAATAAACCACAGTGAGTATTTCGCATTGCAATTGGATGAAAGTATTGATATAACGAACTTTGTTCAAATATTAGTTTATATACGTTTCGAAGAAGATAAACGAATTGTTGAAGAGTATTTATTTTGTGAATCTCTTCATGATAGAGCAACTGCAAGTGAAATTTTCAAATTAATTGACAATTTTATTACTAAGAATGATATTCCTTGGAATAAGTGCATTGCCGTATTCAGTGACGGAGCTCGGGCTTTAAAGGGAAAATATTCCAGAGTGATTTCTAAAATAAAGAACGTCGCACCTGAAACTAAATTTACTCACTGCTTAGCCAAAACAATCCCTGAAAGCCTGAAAATCGTTTTAAATCAAGCTGTGAAAATTGTTAATTTTATTAAAAGCCGAGCTTTAAATTCAAGAATATTTACGATCTTATGCCAAGAGATGGGAAGTGAAAGTGAAATGTTTTTGTTGTATTCCGAAGTAAGGTTTTAAATCGTCTTTTTGAACTTCGAACAGAAATTCAAATTTCCTCTGTTATTAAAAATTTGAATTGGAAAAATGTTTATTTAGTGACTTATGGTTGGAACGTTTAGCTTATTTACCTGATACTTTTGGAAAGTTAAACTAGGTAAATTTATTACTACAAGGACAAAATGTTAATTTCTTTACCGTAAGATATAAAATAAAGGCAATGATAAAAAAACTCGAGCTAATAATCAAAGAATTGGATAATAATAGTTTGAGCTTTTTACCACTTTTAGAAAGTTTTCTAACCGAAAATAATTTGAAAATTGAAGAAGGATTAGCATCCGACATTAAAAATCATTGTTTTTCATTGATAAATAATTTCAAAATGTATTTTACCAAGGATTACGAAAACGAAAATTGGATTAGAAATCCATTTTGTTCAAATATACCTGAAATATTATCTTGTGAAGAAAAAGAACAATTGACAGAAATTTCTTGTGATCGAACTCTAACTGAAGATTTCAAAAATAATACACTTGCTAACTTTTAGCTTAACCGAAAAAATGAATCATTTCAAATAAAGCTATTAAATTTGTATTGCCTTTTCGCAAAACCTCTATGAGCATTGATTTCTTTCAGTGTTATGTTTGAAAAATAAATACAGAACAAAATTAAATTGTGGATTCTAATATACGTTTAAAACTAAGTGAAATAAAACCAGACATAAAGAAACTGATTTCATTTAAACAGGCCAAAATTTCGCACTAAATTTTACAATTATAACTTAAATTTTACAATTATAACTTAAATAACAAGTATTATAACTTAAATTTTGATAATTAAAATGGTAATCAATTTTTAATTTTTTTATGTTTGCATATTTAATTCAAATAGCCAATAAGTTGTGCAAATGGCAAAATATTTTTTAGCCCAAAGGCCGTTAGGCCAGAAGGGCTACTAATTTCAAAACGGCATTTTGCGTCGATTCGCTTTTCAAACTGTTGCCACCAAACATTACCGCCATGTATTATATTTAAAGAAACTAAATAATGAATAATTTGCATGAATGCATGAATGTTTCTCGCATTGTGAAAAAACAACGGTATCTAGAGCCATCAAATTTTGAATAACGTACTCTTCGAACCAAAAATGGCCACTTGGAAGTCCGATTTTGAATTTCCAATTTGTTTTATTATCTATTTCAAATTCTGCAAAACTTTAACAAATTTTTCGTTAACGAACTCAACAAATTCAATACTGTACGAAAAAAGAAAACATTTTAATCTCCAGCGCGCGAGACTGTGTATCGGAAATTCTAAAGGTATG